ATTATTTATTTATTACACACACTTGTGTGTAGACACGGCGAACCCCATAGTCACGAAAACCTGCTTTTCGCCTATGGAAATCGATAAGTGGACCACATAAGCCCTGCTAGGTTGTATCAACTCTTTCATCCCAGTGGGCAACCAAAAAACAGCAACTCGAACTGGCGCATGAAGGTGTACGGTAATGGTTGTAAAAACTGAAAAAAAAACATTGAATTTAGTATGTAAACAATATGAAATACAAACTAACAAGCGTGCCGTTGATACATGATGGTAAATCACCTTTATCGAGACCAGCGAGGACTATCAAATCAATCTAATGCTTGTCTCAGTGGTTCTCTGGCGAGATTTTACACGTTGCAAACTGAAACAGAACGGTGGATGATAGTAGTCTCGAGGTAGCTGCAAGACCGGAGTGTGAAAAAGACATATGCTGTTTGTATTAACCCGTTTAATTACCAGCCAAGGTTATTCATTCCGGGCTAATTGTAAGGCAGTGTTCGGCTCCAGTTCACATATATTGTGGTTTGAATAGTTGTATTACTTTCACGCCCTCTCACACTTGTTCATCCACGTTTTGGAACACTTAGTGCTGGCGAGGAACACAATCCCAGGTCAATAATTCTTCCATCTCGTTGTTCGAAGGTTCTGTTCGAACGAGAGCCAAATGACAAAACATCATGAATGCTGACGAAGGGATGTTCGGCAACTTGCCTGGGGTGGGTGGGAATTTCTCATTAGCAAAAAGGTTAATGGGTTAAATAATTTCCTCAACCCCGCCCCCCACACCCCACTCTCGTTCTGTGCTCTCCAACTCAGCAGTGCCCGTCATAAATCTTGGAAATTTCCGCACGTCCGCTCCTCGCACATTAGCACTGCTAACGAGCGTTTGGTGAGAGAGAAAAGAACGCACACACACACACAAGGCTCGTTTAACTACGAGAAAAAGGTGAAATATGATTTTTAGAAATTCCAAATCACTTAGCGTGGTGATCATTCCATGTGTGTTGGAACTGACCGAGGTTCAAAGCACAGCGCGGGGGGGGGG